TTCCATTAGAGCTGAATACAGTCAGACATAGAGTTGGTGCTTCTTAAACACCCACTGGCTCCAAAAATGAATGGCACTCCCAGAACAGGACCAGGCCACCTCCACACCCAAACCCCTCAAAGGAAGCAGCCGAGTCCCAAACAGGCACAGTTCTAGGCGTGCTCTTGCAACCCTCTGGTGTGTTCAGCCAAACCGTGGGAAATACTACCTGATGGAAAGCCTGCCACTAGCCAACCTCAGAACCAACTGGAGCCACCACCTGGGTCTGTGGTCTCTACAGGGACATTCCAGAGCTAGGAATCACTTCTGTTAGAACAGGAGAGGCAAAGAGGTGGGACCCAAGCCCCACAAGGGGAGAGGCAGCAAAGGGTGGAGAAAGGAGGCTTTGGAGTCATCCTGGGACACAGATGGGTAGGGTGGGGGACATTCTTCTGCTCACTGCCACAGTCCTACACCCAAGCTTCACCCTGCCACGGGGCCAGCTCTGGCATGCCACAGAGGGAAGCTGCCTCTCTTCCCACCACCAGCCTCTTTCCCAATACTCAAACCTTCCGACCCCCCAAACCACCTCTGAGAATGTAGAGCCTGGACAGGTCATCCCATGAGTTATTGAGTTAGTTTACTGTTGGTTTAGTTTAAACTTATGGTTATCATCAGGTATATCTCATAAACACTTGATTAGTTAACGTATTCAAATCGAAATAAAAACTTCAATTACACTGAACATTCACAACTACCATTTAAAGTCTTAAAAAAGAAGAAGAAGAAGTAAGAGAGAAAAAGAGAAAGCAGTGCCTCTCAGAAGGGCCTCCTACAGGGCAAACTTCTAATTAAACAAATTGTCAATTTCAACACAATGAAAACTGATTTAGGAGTGTAAATTTAGTATTCCAGTCACTGGAAATAAGACCTCGCCTTGTCGATCTCCTACAGGCTGATTTCATCTGATAGGGAAATGAGGAGGAAGACAAGGAGAGAAAGGGGGAAAAGATGCGGAGGAAAGGCAAGCCGAAGCCGAAGCCGTTTTCTCCTTTCATAAATAACATCCCGGTGGAATTCAGTGTGGCCTCTTCTCCAGCATCGGAGAAACTCTTGCCTCCTCCTTCACCCCACCCCTACCAGATTAGAAAAAAAAAAAATTAATCGCGTATGATGACAACCTTGGCTCGGCACTCACTGTACATACTGTACCCACAAGTCTGGCTCGCAGCCAGGCCTGGCCCAGCGCCAGGACTACAATAACAAACACAGGCAGCGCTAGCCAAGAGGGGGTGGGGCAGCCAACACAGCCCTCGAGCAGGGAAGGGAGCCTGTGCGGCTGGGCTCTGCTAAGCGCTCTGGAGCAGAAGCGCAGGGCCGGGGTGTGCCTGGGCAGGGGCAGCCACCAAGACCCCTGCTCAGATCCCAGGCTCCCCTACAGCATGCTCTTCTTAACAAAACAGTCCCCTAGGCTGGTTCTTCCAGGTTCTGCACTGCTGCTCCAAGCCTTGATCATCTTCTATAAAATGGGTCTGTGCTACAGATCCTGAGGGTCCATTCTCACTGTCAGCTCCTCGCTGCATGGAGCCTTCGAGATAGAGGAGAAAGGAAATCTCATGTCATCTCAGTAAACGTGTCTTCTAAAATAACAGAGTTCTGTTGTTAGGCATCTGGGCGCTGGGATCAGAATGTGTAAAATCACTAGTGGAATCTTTGAGAAAACCTGGCACTACCAGCCCAACCCCAACAAGTCCAGGTCTCCACAGGGTCCCCTCTCCCAGGAGTGGTCACTGTTCAACAGGGGGCAACCAATTCAGGAAGGAGTCTAGCCTCACTAATCCTTTGTGCTCTCTGATTTTTAAGACATTCCAACACAGTGAGAGGCATGCATAGCCACAGGAAGAAAACAGAGGCTAGAAATCTCAGGTTCTGTAGGCCCTGAGCTATGTGCAGGGGTGAATTTAAATCACGAGGATGACTCATCATACCTGCTCCATCACCAAATCCTCCTTTCAAGGGCACTGGCAAGTGACTCTCAGAGGGACAAATCATTTGACCAATGAGGCAGGCACAGAAAGGCAAACAGGAAAGCAGGATTCAACTTCCAAAGCCTCTGACACATCCAGATGGGGGCCTTCGAAGTGCTATCTCAGGAAGACTGGAGTGCACTTCCCCAGGGACCTGTCAGTCCTGGGGGGGTGGGGAGAGTGGATAGTGCCAAGTCACTATCTTGTGTAAACTGGGGGCACCAAACACCCAGGAGAATATGAAATCAGCCACTGACCTCTCTATGGCACCCACTGGCACTGTGAACATGGAATTCAGAGCAGACAGCAGCTAACTCACATGGACTCTGTTGCCTTAAAGAGGGTTGAAATATGGGCCAGGGTCTCCTGGCCTCTCAGCCATGAAGAGTTCCTGTGTAGACGAAACCAGGCAGGAGATGGGAGTCTCCTTGAGTTGCTCATTGGTCTCCCAGGTTGCACTCACTCATTCAACAGATATTTTTTGACTCCAATAATGTGCTGGGCACTGCACTAGACATGATGGGGACTGATCCTAGGCCCAAGAAGATTACAATCCATTAAGGAGAGAGGGAAAGGGAAATCCTGCAATATTCCAGGCATAGTGCTAAGGATGCCACCCAAGCCCTACTTCCTGAAAAAGGAAAATTAGGGTTAAATATTCTCATTTCACAGTGAGGCTCAGGGTCGGAGAGTCCAACTCACACCCACACGAACCCAAGATCATATTGTCAGGAGGTGGGTGCCCCAATTCCTTCCACCACATCACCCTGTCCCCACAGAGGGGAGATAAGGCAAGTCCATGATTAACTGTAACACAAAGAAGAAAGATTGTACACAAAGACAGCTCCAGATGAAGAAATATGGGCACCCCAAATAAGGCACAATTGCTTCTGGTTAGAAATGGGGGATGGCTGGGGATGGCATCATGAAAGGAACCTTGGAAAATCTGGGAAGATGGCAGACAGAATGGGGACAACAAAGACACAGGGCTCAGAAAGCAAGGAGCACATGAAGTAACTCAACAAGAAGGTGAGTGTGGTTAGAGTACTGAACTCAAGGGAAGAGCAGCAAGAAAGGGTGCAGACTGCGGTGGAATTTCAGAGAAGGCAAGTGGGTCTCAACAACAGATGAAAATACATATTGTGGCATCAAAGTATCCAGTGCCATATAGGTATCTGGGGCAGGGAGCAAAAGAAACAGAAAGCCCACACTTTGGCTCTCAGGGTCAGGGGGAGGTGGCCAACCTTGTTGGCAGACAGTTTATGAAACCACACACTGAATCCTAAACAATGCACAAGCTGAAGGGAAGCTAAAGGTGTACATCATTAAAAGAGAAGAAAAGTGCTGGGCACAGTGGTGCACGCCTGTAATCCCAGCGGCTCGGGAGGCTGAGATAGGAGAATCGCAAGTTCAAAGCCAGCCTCAGCAACAGCGAGGTGCAAAGCAACTTAGTGAGACCCTGTTTCTAAATAAAAAAATACAAAATAGGGCTGAGAAAGTGGCTCAGTGGTCGAGTGCCCCTGAGTTCAATCCCTAGTTACCCCCACTGCCCCCTCCCAAAAAAAAAGAGAAGAAAAAGTGGAGTGAGGGGGAAGGAGACAGACATGGGGACAAATGGACATATGACATAGAGAGCTGCCTGGGATGCTGAATCTCTGTGTCTGGAAGAGAGAAGAATGGGAGACAAGAAAAAGTTTGGGCACTTTAGGAAGGACCACGAAGGCCAGGGAGAGAAGTCACATCCTACACAGGGCAGAGTCACATGGTGAACTGAAGCAGAGCTACCAAAGAGCGCTTATACCACTGTATGCATACAGGGTCACAGGAAGAACAGCACACAGCCTGCCAGCCAGGCAGGAAGCTTCTGGAGTTAGGTGATAGCTTCAGAGGTAGGAAAGGGGAGGAAGGTGCACACAGAAGCCATTGATAGCAATTAAATATGAATTGCATGCTGGGTTCTTGCTATGGATGCCTTTAACATACTTTCTGTCATCTAATCCTCAAAAAAAAAAAAAAAAAAATGTGAGTTAGCAACACCTGCACTCGACAGATACAAAGCTAGAGTTCACAAGATAAATCTGGCCACGGTCACACAGTTAGCACCTGTCACAAACAGGATTTGAACCTTCATCTGCTCAAGCCCAAAACTCATACTTATTTCACAAACACTAAACTGCCCGGAAAGTCAGTTGCTTCAGGCAATATGGAGAAAAATGAGGAAGAATTTGACAGATATCAATATGTGGGAAGACCAAATAAGATAGCCCAATCAGCTCCCCTAAAAAGTGACCCCAAGTCTGAAAGTCAAGGTTACTACTACAGGGAAGAGTATGCCCAGGGCAGGACAGTGGTGAAGCCTCTACAACTGGGTTCAGGGCCAGTGTCCCTGAACCCAGAAGCCGCAGCGTCAAACCTGCAGGATCCTTCCCTCCACCAGAACACCCAGGCATGCAGAATACCAGCAGCTTCTCTCCTTCCACGCCTCATGGGGCAGAGCAGCTTTGCCCAAACACCAGCAAAATTACCAGCAGCCACACAGCCGACCCCACTAGAATTGGATAAAATTAACTTGCAAAAGACAGCACGCTATAACTAGCTTTGTGTTCCAACCTTTCTATATCTATTTAATTAAAGGCTCCTGTATAATGTGAACCCAATAGTCAGATTCATTAGACAGCGAGAACCTAATTCCACAACTGTTTTGCTAATGAAACTGCAGTCTACTTTGGAAGGTAGATCACACAGGGCATGGGTGCCAGTGATGCCCTGGGAACCCCAGGGAAGCACGAGGATGGGCTCATCCAATGTGCACACGGTCAGGTGGCTTTTCTGCTCCATGAACCTGGAAGGAGGATCCGATCAAGGGACAAGGTGGACCAAGGTCTTGCCTGGCATCAGGGTCACCCGAGCCACAGAAGGCTCTGAGTTGGAGGCGAAGGTGGGCAGGAGGTAGTTGCCTGTGCCCAAACGGGCCGTTAAGGCATCCTTGCCTACCTGAATGAGCCAGTAAGTGCATTCTCAGTCGCAAACTATCCAGGAACCGCTTTCCGCAGAGCTCACACCCGTACGTCTTCATCCCACTGTGCAGCTTCCTGTAGGGGAAAGGAAAAGACAGGTTGCTGCTGCTCTGGCTGGACAGAAGGCAGGCCCACCCCTACCTGGGGGCTCTGAAGCCATCTCTCAGGTAGGTGAACAGGAAGAAGGAAGTGGAGGGCATGGCACTGATGGAGACTCATCCCTGGATCTTCTGGCTTCAAAACCCCACCCCGACCCCAGGCCAAGGCCTGCTGCCAATAATGCGCCCATTCCTAGTCTCAGCCAAGGATGGAAGAATAGGGTACTTCCTATGGCTTGGTTCACTGTCACATTGACCAAGGGAATAAATCACACCTGATTCCAGAGGGTTAGGGAGGTAGTTCCCAGGACAGTCAGACAGACATGCTCACTGTTCAACCAGCATGGGTCATAAATGGAAGAGCACCGGCCTCTGCTTACCTCAGACTGAGCTGTTACCCTGCATGCATCTGGCTCCCTGCCACCACTGCTAGACAGCAGGAGGGCTGCACCTATAGCCTTTCTCTCTCCTTTGCCTAACCCACTACAGTGACTGGCACAGAGGAGGCTAAGGCCCTGAATAAGCTTCTAAAGGAAATAATGTCTTTACAGATAGTCAGGGCTCCCAGATGTCCTCAGAACTATGGTGATCCCTAGAACACATTTTTCCCCTAAGGACCAGCTTTAGAAGTGTCTTTCTTCTGTGTGTCTTTCCCCAACAGATAAAAGGGTTCCAACAGTAGTCATTTTTGGCTTTCCAAAGTACTTTTGCACACATTTTGCAGTACATTTTGCCACCATTATGATTCTGTGAAGTGGCTGGCCTGTGCAAAGACAGAGGCACTGGTGACAACTGGTCACAGGCCCAGCCTGCCACAGTTCCCTAATCCCACTTCCCGCCTAGGGTCTTTCTTGACAGACCCCTTGCTCTATCATGAGGCAGCAATGGAGTCCAGAAGATACAAGGAACCGGATGGGCCAGCAAGCAGGGAGCTGAGTCTGGGGAGAGGCTCTGAGCTTCTGGCTGGCCCCAAAATGCTGACCTTCCTCCCATCCATACTCTGTTTCCAGGCACTTACTGCCACTGCCAGATCTGGGCTCTGGTCTCTACCCCTGCCCCTGTTTGTGCATCTTCCCTGCACCTTCCCCTCCAGAACAGGGCAGGCAGTGGCAGCCAGAGGTAGTATCTGTGGGTGGTAGGACAGTGCGGGGCTCCCTGGGAGCCAACAGCCTACTGCAATCAGAACGTTGAACTGTCAAGACCACAATAAAAGGCTGGACAGCTGATACTGATGTTAGATAAAACTTCGTATGAGGACAGGGATATCATGCACTCAAGCAGGCAGTGCCCGAATTATGACAATGAAACTGAACTACCAACTTCCAAATCCTCAAATGAAAACCCAAAAGTGTACCCAAACCACTCCCCAGACTCAGTTCCCTGCTTGCCGGCCCATCCGGTTCCTTGGGTCTCTCCATTGCTGGCTCATGATGGAGCAAGGGATCTGTCAGGAAAGGCCTTCGGTGGGAATTAGGATTGGGGAACCATGTCAGGCTGGGCCTGTGACCTGTTGTCACCAGTGCCTCTGTCTTTGCATGGGTGATAACACAGGCCAGCCAATTCACAGGTCTAGATGAGCCTCAGCCCATGGGCCGCTGTGGCATGAGGACAGCACACAATCCAACGTGTTCAGTCTCCTGAGGGTGATCACACACAGTTCTCTTCGCAGAACTCTTTCTCAATCGCATTGTTTTGTTTGCTCATTTTCCCTTTATCCCCTTGCCAAAGACAAATGATTTCTCAATCACACACATGCGCACCCACGTGCGCGCGTGCGCGCGCACACACACACACACACACACACACACACATTCACCCACATACACACCCCTCGGCCCTATATTATCTCATTCTTGGCCGCTGCTTATCCATCCAATTGAGAAATAACAGAACATTTGAACTGAACATTCTTAACTCTAGATGTATTTCACAATATTCGGCACTGGGACCGGTCCTAATAGTGTTGGGGTAAAGCTTTTAAATACGTGCCCAGGTACGTGCGTGCAGGTGCATGTGTGTGAGCACATACACACATGATAGTGGAGCATTCCTGCCTCTTGTCTGGGCCTGATGGATGTTTGCTTTTTATAGGAGATGTTCTACAGGGTGGCAAAGGCTCCATTTGTAAGTGGCTCTTCAGCTGAACTTCTCACACACAGTCCTGGTGACGTCTAGTGGATGACAACTTACGAGTTCCAGTTTATTTTCATCCTCTTCATTGGCAATTTGTTAGTTTCCAGAGGTGCCCACCTTTCACTGGTGGCTGTCAAGAGGAACAGACGGACCAACACCCACTTGGATTTACTTTCCAAAAGGAATCTACAGTGGCCAGAATTAACATTTGGGGAGCCACCACCAGCCAGGCTAACCTCCCCTCTTGGGCTCCTTTTTTTAAAAAACTTTTTTTTCTTTTTTAGTTGTGGATGGACACAATACCTTTATTTAGTATTTTTTATGTGGTGCTAGGGATCAAACCTAGTGCCTCATGTGTGCTAGGCAAGCGCTCTATCACTGAGCCACAACCCCAGTTCTCCTATCTCTTCTTGAGAGCTCCAGATCAAGTCCTTCACCCTGATGAACACTCTTTCAGTAATACTTCTGGCCTTTTCCCTATATGCAAATGGATTTGCCTTGAAATTGCTGGAAGTGTCTTTTCTTCCAGTGGCCAACTGGAGTGGCTTGGTGTAAAAGATGAAGCACCTTTGCCCTCTCCTTATAGAGATAGCAGGGCACAGGAAAGAATGCCCAGTGAGCAGCTAGAAGACTTAGATCCTCATCTTGACTCAGTCAAGATAGCTTGTTTCAAGACCTTGGACAAGTAGTGCTATCATAATCACTCCTCTTTTTCTCACCTGTAAATGGATGTGGATGATAGCTAAAATTTCAGGTGGAGACCAAATTTTATTATTCAAAAGTCTTACCCACATCCTTTTACCTTGCCTCCAAGAAGTCCCTCTCATGGGCACCATTATTCTTGCTGAGCCATGCTCCACTTGTCACTGCCCACTATGATGTTCTCTGACACTCAGGCAGTCAGGCTAAGAGAGCCCAAGCAACCTGGACCCAACCTGGCGATCTATTCATTTAAAAACTTTCTAATACAGATGGCCAGAGTTTCCTCTTTCACTCACTTGTTATTTGTTTTTCATTAAAAAAAGCTCCCAGAACTCATCACAAGCCTTTCCTCTGAACATCTTTGCCACCATGCACTTCTAGCCTTCAGAGATGTAGATGTTGTCTTGTCCAATCCTCAGGGTGAGAACACTACCCTGGAACTCTGTCACTAACACAGTGACCCACACAGGTTACCATGGGCGAATGTGGGATCCATGTAATCCTTACCTAGGACAAGCACACAGGTCTCACCCACTGGCAGGGAGATCCAGGCAAATCACACAAAGTCCAGAAGACAAAAAGAAAACAACTTCCCAGCCTGCCTGGGAGTTCAACCTAGCCTGTTTACTCCCATCTTTACTTATTGTTCAGATACCAAGAAGAGTGTAGAGAAGTGGAAGCTTCTCCTGATTCAAAGAAAAATAAGTTATACTCCACGGATGTACAGTATGTCCAGATGCACTCTACTGTCATGTAAAAATATACTAAAAAGAACAACAACAAAAAGAAAATGGCAGAGAAGACTTGATTGCATTCACTGGGCCTGGTGACCAACAGACTCTATGACAGAGTCCACAGAAGAGCCAATGTGGATATAGAGTTCCCAGTGGTTTCTAGAGCAAAAGTACAACTTTGTATGAACTTACGGTCATCCCTCTTTAGAACACAACCTCCCCAAACCACCACCACCACACTATGCAGTGGCATTTAGATCAAAATAGAAATTCTGTCCACCTTCTTCCTCCTCATCATACACTTGAGTCCTGTCTTTTCACAAGGTATGACTGCTTAGGACCATCTGAAGTCATCAACCTCCACTATGCACAGGGAAGGACATCTAGGGATAGTTTTACACTTTGCTGTGTACTTCTCTGGTTGATATTGAAGTTTCTATATTCTGTTCTCTGAGAAAAAAGCCACATGGCTGACCACCACCTTGAAAGTAACTTGGTTCTAGCATAGCCCAAGCATTTGACCCCCTCCCCATATGCAGTGGAGGATCCATCTCCCCCAATATGCTTCAAGTCCCCACTATTTATTCTTGGGGAATGGGCTCCAGATCTCCTCTACCCCTCGTGGTGAGCCATCTCAGACAACACCTGGCCCACTGCATATAACATTCACTTAGGTCCAAAATGACAATAACAACAACAAAAATTAACCCCTAACAAGTTTCTATCTATATTCTCAAGAAAGCAGAATCAATATGAGAAATTAAGAGATAAGCAAATCTGAACCTTTTAACAAGTAACATAAGAGAAGGACCCATTTATTCTCACTAATTGTCAACCATACAACTCTCACTAGTAAAACCAAGATAGCAAGATACAAGTTCATCATATGAATCATTTCTGTGCTATTACAAGTGTGAAAATCCATAAAGATCCTGTCTGATTTAAATTAAAACTCCACAATGACAGAAGCCATGTGTATATTACCTTTTATTCATAAGGCCTAGTTTAAAATGGATTGTTCAATACCACTAAAGAAATCCATCTAGATAAGAGTGTAGGGTACTCCTCTGCTCATCCTAATAAAAATCCAAGTACAACAGTTTCATGGGCAACCACCAGTCCAGAACCAGACTCTGTCCTGTGGCCCCTGAAATCCATACAAAGAAGCCAAAGACTTTCACATCAGCATGAAGCTTGAGCTTAGAACAACCTCTCATTCTTCAGGATAAGCCTTCAATCACCCCAGTCCACCTAGGACAGCAAAAACATGAGTGACAGCAAGGAGAGACTCACACCAAGTTCCATTCTCCCTACCTTCAGTCTCCAGAGACAGCTGGCCTTAAGAGTACTCTCTACAGGAGAATCTCAGTCCACCTCCATGCCACACAGCCAATGATCAAGGAGAGAA